CACACCTGGAGAACCCCACCTGTCCCAGCCAGCTGTCCCAGCCAGCAGGGACCAAGTCCAGAGGGCAGCTGGAGTCACCTGCCCCTGCCAGTCAGCCCAGCAGGAGGCCCTCCTCTCCCAGCGGCTGAGGCCGCCCGCACCCCAGGCAGTAAGGCCCTGCAGACGTGGGGCACTGCCCGCAAAGAAAGGATTCTGGTGCAGCTAAGACAGGTATGTGCGGGAAGCTGAAGACCACGGCCACTCGGTCCTCTCGGGGGGTCAGAGCAGAGGTGGGGAGGGCCACCCTGCAGGGTGAGGAGAGCCATACACAGCATGAGACATCCCTGACCGGACCCCTGCCACGGGCAGGCAGGACTGGCCATGTGCCCTCCCGGCCTTGGCCCAGAGCCGGACTCCCAGGCCTGCGCACAGCAGGTGGCCAAGAGCAGCCCTCGGGGGTGTCTGGACCTCGAGCCCGGGGTCAGGCTCCCACCCTCCAGCACAGTGGGCAGCGCTGCAGGGCAGCCTGGGAGGGCCCACCTCCTCCCCACTGATCAGTGATCCCAGTTCAGAAACAGCCAGCCTTGAGCCAAGGCCAGGGGCTCAGGACCCGGAGGCCTGCCCCTGCTCTTTCCGCTCTGCTCCCTGGCACAGCCTGGGCCCTGCAGCCCTCACAGCTGCTGCTAGCCCACTCCCGGGGGCTCCCATCCACCGGCTTCCAGCTCAGGCTGGGAACCCGGGCTCCCTCAGAAGGCTGGGCACATCGAGGCCCAGAGGGGGCCCTGAGCGTGGAGGCTCTGGGTGGGACCACTGACACCTCTCCCTGCTGGGATGGGGGGCGGAGGCAAGCCACATCAGGTCCCCAGGGGCATCTGCCAGGCCAGCCCCAGGGCAGCCCCCCTGGTTCTGGTCTTTCTGGCTGGCTCAGGGCAGGAGGCTGAGAACCCAGGGCTCTGGGCTGACTTGCCCTGCGATCCCTGACCAGCGCCTTCAGGCCAGACACTTCTCCCCTCCGGCTCCTCTGCCCCTGCCTTCCTCCCATCAGGGAAGCCCACCCTGAGCCACCTGCACCCCACGGCCTTCCCCAGCCCACAGGCCCACCTCCTCCAGGAAGCCCCTGGGCCACCCAGCCTACGGCTGTGCGCCTGCTGATGCCCTGACGGCTCAGCTGGACCTGGGACCAGAGTCCCAGCACTGCCCCAGACACCCACCCAACCAGCCCACTTCAAAGCTGAGGACACTGAGGCCCAGAGGGAGCCAAGCCTCTTGGACCAAGAAGGTGCCCAGACGGGACCCAGGCCTGAGCGCGCAGCTGGCACCTGCCCCACTGGGAAGGAGGTAGGTGGTCCGCCAGCTGGTCCACCACAACGTACAGCACGCAGGGGCTGCAGTGACAGGAGCTGGCCCTCAGCACATGCGTGCCTCCCAGCCACGGTGAGGGGCGCACGTCACCAGCACACGGGCACCTGGTGCAGTCCCAGGACCAAGCCACATTCCCACTGGGGAAAACCATTCTTGGTTGGTCTGACAGGATCCCCAGGGCCTGACAAGGATCGGGATCCCGGTGTGCACCTCCCTGTCTGCCGACCAATGGTGCTGGCCCACAGCAGAGAGGCTGGTGGCCTGGGGTGCCCTGACCCCAGGTCACCCGTGAGAGCTGCACCCCACAGAAGTGCAGGCATGTGGTGCATGCGGTTACACCAGGAACCAGGGACAATGCCCAGCTACCCCATCATGCCCACTGTGCCCTCACGTCCAACAGACCAGACCTCTGTGCAGAGCATCACCCCGTCCCCGGGCTCTGCCACCGGGCAGCTGCACACCTCACCCACACTGAGCTCTTTTATCCCCACCTAACAGAAGGGGCTGCGGTCTGGTACTCATCCTGCAGGACATGGAAGCCCAGCAGCCCCAGCCCCGGCTGCACCAAGGGCCCAGGCTGGGTGGGTGTCCAGGGCTGGTCCCCGCCCACCATCCCCGACCCTGCCGGCACCACAGCCTCTGTGCTCCCGGACTTGTGCAGAAAGCCTTCCAGGTGGGTGTCCAGGGCTGGTCCTCTCCCACCATCCCCGACCCTGCCAGCACTGCAGCCTCTGTGCTCCCGGACTTGCGCAGAAAGCCTTCCAGGCAGGACGGTGAGGCAGGCCGAGGTGGGGCACAGCAGCCGAGCCGCCGGGGCAGGCAGGACTAGCCCAAGAGGGGAGCTGGGCTGGGGGGCTCTTCCCAGGGGCTCCCCTCTCCTCTGCTCTTCACACGCAGTCCGGCAGCATCTTTCTTCCTCCCCACTCTTTGGTTCAAATGAAAGAATTTGGGGGAACCAGAAAAAAATAAGGTTTATATTTTCAAAACTGGAATAAATAATAATTGGGGGGAGTTAGTTAAATATCCCCAACTGTGCAGTGGCCCAGCTCACCAGTGTGCAGACCCCACCGGAGGGGCAGGGCAAACAGTGCTGTTGGAGGCTCCGGCAGCACACAAGGGAGAGGGGTTGCCCCTGCAGGCGGCACGGCCCCCACGCCCGGCCCCACACACCAGCCCCATACACCACATCTGCATGCCCAGCCCTGCACGCCCACCCCGCACACCCATGTCCACATGCCCAGCCCTGCACGCTGGCCCCACACACCATGTCTGCATGCCCAGGCCTGCACACAGGCCCAGCACACTCACGTCTGCATGCCTATCCCTGCACGCCGGCCCCACACACCCACATCTGCACGCCCAGCCCTGCATGCCAGCCCCACACACCCACGTCTGCACATGCAGCCCTGTATGCCAGCCTTGCACACCCAGCCCTGCTTATTCGGCCTCTCTTCTAGGAGATAGTGACCCAGGGGGAGGGCCGGCAGCTTTACCTACTGCTCCCGGAAGGCCATATCTGGCCCTGACTGGCCGCCCCCCAGGAAGCCCGCCCACCCTGGTGGGCCACGGGTGTGCGCACGCCCAGCGCCCAGATGCGGCTGCTCCCGCCTGGCCCCCCTGACCTTGCTCTCCTCTTCCACAGAGCGGATGAAGCAGGGCCCCAGTGCAGTGACAGGGCACCAGGAGAGGTAGGTGCCCAGGTGGCTCTGGAGGCAAAGCCAAGCCCAGACCCAGGCCCCCAGAGGCAGGCGGGCACAGGGCACATGAGTGCAGCTCCCACCCACTTGGAACTGGGTCTCTGAGCCCACTCAGTGGGGCTTCCCTGTGTCCCAGCAGCTGGGCCCGATGGGCCCCCACAGTGCACAGAGGCCCCCACTGGATGCCGAGCTCCCCCCAACAGCACCCCTGCAGCCTCTCACACCCTCTGGTTCACAGGAGGCCAAGTGTTGGGGTTTCACAGGTTGGGGAGGCCGCTCCCCACAGAGAGGGCCAGGTGTGAGCCCCAGGGCTGGGCACCTGCACAGAGCCTCAGGCCAGGAGGTAGGGGGCTAATGGCGGAAAGCAGGACGGAGGAGGAGGGCTGGTCCCGGGGAAAGGGCAGGCGCACCTGGCCTTTCCTGGAGGATGTGACGTGGGCAGCCCACATGCCAGAGTCACCTCCTCACCCCCCGAAGCAGGGACCACAGTGGTGTTTGTGTCGCTGGCTGTCAAGCCACAGCCTTGCCCCAGCAAGCCCCCAAGGGCAGCTGGCCCTGAGACCAGCATGGCCGAGGCAGGCAGCGAGTGACAAAGGTTACCCGAGGTCCTCAGGGCATGTCCCACCCATGGCCGTTGGGACAGACCAGAAGAGACACGGCTGGACAGGGGCCTCCATCCTGCCTGGACCCAGCCTGTGTGGGGGGACTGGGGGTCCGAGGAGGAGGCTTGGCTGAGGCTCGGAGTGCAGATGTTCCAGGGCACAGGGCAGGGCCCCCAGCACCTGGAGGAGCCCTTTCATCTGCACAGGGCGGTGGGCCTCGCTCCACAGCCTGGGCAACAGCGCCCCCAGCCACCAGAGCCCAGGAAGCAGCAGGCTCGCCCAGAGCTGACCCAGGAGAGAACCTTCCGGCTAACAGAGGGCATTCCATCCGCCGTGAGAGCCACCAATCCGCCGGCCTTTGCAACGATCGCCAGCACCCTGAACACCGGCACCTGTGCCAGGAGGCCAGGACCAAAACCTCCCCAGGCCCCCAGCTCTCAGCCCAGGGTGGGGAGGTGGAGGGCCCTCACGTGTGAATGCATAGGCAACATGGAGAGGCCAGGGGTCCCCATACTCATGGGGCGCCTCCTGTTCCCCACAAACTTCTGGCTTCCCTCCAGGTGCCTGCTGGGCATCGGGGGTACTGAGACGCGTTGCAGGACGGATGCCCAGCATCCAGCTGGAAGAAGCCCCCAGCTGCCTACTGGAAGCAAGGTCAGAGCCCCGGAGCCGGCTGGGACCATTTCATTTCCCGGGGCGGCCAGGCTCTGTGCCTGTCTCGACAGGACCCTGTGAGTTCCACGGTCAGTGAGGACACGTCAGACAAAGCACAAAGCCCCGGGCAATGCTCACGCCTGCCCATCGCTCAAGAGAACGAGGATGCCCATCTGCGGGGGTCTTCTGACGGTTTTTCAGGCATTCGCATGCACTTTTCAACACAGATTTCCTGCCACACCTCAGCTCGTGCGCAGCCTGAAGCACCCGGCCCACGGTCTCCCGCACGACGGCAGGTCCACTTCCAGCATATCAGGCTTCCAGTCTACGCCTGTGCCGAGGTTCATGCCAGAAGGACCCCAGTGCTCCCCGTTATCCCCATTAAGGACACGGGCGCCTCAGGTAAGGCGGGAGGGCAGCTCACACACCCGGGACGGGCCACTGACCCACTGTCACTGACTGGCTCTCCCGGCACCAGGCCAGCCCCTGTCCACCTGTGCGCCTGGCGCCCTACCCACAGCACTATCACACAGCACAGTATCTCAGATTATGGGGTGCAGAGGCAACCGGGGAGGAAGGGGGTCTCAGAGGAGGAGCAGAGGGCAGGGAATGGAGACTGGAGGGTACCGTCCACCCAGGGACTTCCCTGAATGCTGTGCCCCCCGCCAAGGCCAGGGCCTCAGTGCCTGGAGGGGGCTCCACTCACCATACTGACAGAGAGGACCCTGGAAGCCTTGGGGACAGTGGCACGGCTGGGCCGAGCCGGGCACACAACGGCCACCATTGAAGCAGAGGCCAGCGCTGCACGCCGCTGCGGAGAGGAGAGAAGGCGTGTGAGGAGGGGCAGGGCCAGCGGGCAGCCCCCAGCCCCCCAAGGACAAAGTCCCTGGGGACGCCCCCACCCCCTGTGAAGTCTCCTCATAAGGCGAGGCCTCGAGCCTGGACAGGACTCAGACCCACAGCACAGAAAGGAAAGCCCTCCTTCCGTGGCAGCTGGGCCACGACTTGAGGGCTGAGCCCTGATGCAGGGGAGTGTCCCACAGGCAGGCCGCCCTGACCCCCGTCAGGCCACTACCCCCAGCTCTGCTCTATCCATGGCCACACACTGCCTGCCCCTACCACACGCACAAATGCACGCACATACATCCACACATACACACACACCACATATACACACGCATCACACACACACACCATGTACATACATACACCACACCCTAACATGCACATGTACACACACCTATACGTGAGCAAACACACATGCGTGTATGTACATATGTGTGCACGTAGGCAGTACATTCATGTGGGTGCACATGTATGTCTTGCAAGGCAAGGAGGGAGGGCCAGGCGGGGTCTGTGGGAGGAGGGCAGAGGGCGGGAACAGCCCATAGCTGAAAAGTTGCTGAGAACTGGGCTGAGGACCCTGACTAGAAGCCCTCAGACTGGTCCCACCGAGGAGGGGTAACCAGCCCAGGTTAGGAGGGGACGGAGGGAGGGTCCAGGGCAGCAGGGACCAAGGCTGGGAGGGGCTGGCTCCCCACCTTCTCCAGAAGAGACCCCCTGCTCCCAGAGTATCCCCCCACCATGCCTTGGGGTGCTAATGAGCCCCTCTCAGCACAAGGCCATTGTGTGGGGTGGGGAGGAGACAGCTGGCCTAAGCAGCAGGGGCTCTGAGAGGGGAAGGGCAGGTCCCCTTGGGGCCCCACAGTCGCAACTGCCTGCTGGCCCCACACAGCAATACTCCAACCCAGCTGGACCAGGTACCTCCCTGGGTTGGGGGGGTTCAGCACCAATATTTTTGGCCTGGCAGCCACCACCCTCACATCCCTACACCCAGGAGGACAAGGCCAGGCAGGTGGGCAGTGGCCTGTGACCCCAAAGGCCTGGCCCTGGGTCTGGAGGCTTCAGGGGTGCTTGCTGGGTGAGTGGGTGCTCTGAACAGGGCCCTGTACCCCAACACACTCCGTGCCTGGAGGGACCCATGGGTTTGGCAAGCTTATGTGCCACTGACGGCATTCCCACCAGGAGCAGAATGAGAAGCTCCAGGTGGTGAGGGGACCCCCAGGGGGAGGGACGCCTGCCAGGCACAGAGTCCAGGCAGCCCTCTGGGCCGGACGCTGGGACTCATGGGGAAACTGAGGTACAGAGACATGCAGTACATGCCCCGAGTCACACAGCCAGAGGGGAGGGACCAGGCTCCAGGACTCTCCGACTTAGCACCAGGGGCCTGGAGGACCAGCCCCGCCCAGGGACAATGCTCCTTCCTGCTCTGGTCCCACAGCCTCGGCCGCTGTCGGTCTTGGAGGGACACCCCCCAGACGGCCCTGCGCTCAGCCCGCACTGGCAGCCTGAGGATGCGTCCTGCATGGGGCCGGAGTCGGGAGCTGCTGCCTGCAGGTGCTGCAGGGGACGGGGAAGGGCGGACGGCCCTGGGCCCCAGGCAAGTCCTCGGGCCAAGCAGCTGCGGGGTCCCAGGTGCAAAAGGCCTGGTGCTGTTGATGGGGATGCACTTTTACGAAGAAAGAGAAGCCAGCTGTGTTTATTTTCACATCTTAGAGAGGTTTTCACTGACCTGAGAACATCCTGCCCCAAACAGGCGAGATGGCCAGCCCTCACTTTCCACGCCAAAGTGCAGAGCCAAATCCCTGACCAGAGCAGGCAGGGTGAGCTCGAAGGCCAGGACAACCCTGGTCTCCTGCCAGGGCTGACGTCAGTCACTGAGGGCCACCCTCGGCTGGAGCCGGCCACAAGCTTGCTGCACGGAACTCAGACAAGCCACTCAGATTACTGTGTGAAGACGAGGGCGGGGTCATTTTGGAGCACACGGCAACTCCTGCTTCCCCATCAACACCAACAGTGTCACCATCCGCCTAGAGGCTCAGGACAGAAACCCGGGACCCGTCCCGCACCGCTGCACCACTCGCCCCAAGTCCAGTCCAACGCTGGGCTAGTCGGCTCCCCACCCAGTGTGACCTGAGCACACCCACCTCCCTCCACTGCCAGGGCCACCATGCCCACAGAACCACCATCAGCGCAGATGTGCAGGCCTGCAGACACCCCCCAGCTGGCCCTTGTTCACACTCCTGCCCGGCCACTTTTCCTACCGACAGCCAGCATGATCTTTTACGACAGAAATGGAACCGCAGGGTCCCCAGAAGAAAACCCTTCAGCAGCTTCCCATGGACTTGGCACAAAGCCCCCAGCCACCATAAGCCTGCTAATCAGGCCCTGCGGCTCTCAGCCACCATCGGCTTGGACAGCTGGTCCCTTCCCCAGATGTCACCTCCCTGGGGAGCCTGCCTAGGCCCCCAGACACACCGACGCCACGGCACCTGCTGCTCCCACCTCACCTCTCCAGTGAACCTAAGTACTTAATGCTGCAGGCTCCCTGGGAAAGGGCACCACGTGCATCCTGACTGCCTTTGTGTTCCTCAGCGCTGCCGACACACCTCGAAGGCACTCGATGGACTCTGTTAGGTGGGTGGCTGGATGGGCAACCCTCCAGGCAAAGCTGGAGGTGACGGAGGTACGCTTCAGGAAAGAGCAAGGGCTTGGGATCCAAGACGGGGGGCACCCAGGGCAGCGTGTCCACAGAGACGGGAAAAAATGAAGCAAATTGCACAAAGCTATGCCCCAAAGCAAGGAGGGCTCCTGGTGGCCCCGAGACATGGGGTGCTGGAAAGTTGGGGGTGCCAGAGGGAACCCTGGGACCAGGGCCTGCTTGGGCAGCATGAAGTGACGCTGTGCATATCCCACCCACAGCAGGAGTGAAGCGTGGGCAGGCCAGTCACCCTGCACAAAGTGACAGGCAGAGATGTGGGTGCCTGAGCAGAGCCCGGCATGTCCAGTCCTGCATGATCCCATCCTCAGCCAGGAACCCACCTGGGACCTGCCCCCCTCATGCCAGGAGCATGCAAAGGTCAGGGACGCCCTCCGGCAGCACAGCCCACCCCTTCCCACAGGCAGAGAACCAGCAGACCAGGGCAGCCCTGCCCAGCCCCCAGCGCACAGCAGTGACACTGTCTCGCCAGAAGGACAAGCACCCCAAAGAAGCCCCCAGTGGTTGAGGGAAGACAGAACAAGGCCTGGAAGAACTCACTCCCGAAGAGACAGAGCCCCAGCACCAGACCAGCTCGGAAAGCAGGGTGTCTGACCTCCAGGAGGGAGGGCACCACGTGTGGGAAGAGGACCACGTGGAAAAGCTGGAAATGACCATTGCAAACCCTCAATGCTGGGGTGTTTGATGAGGCTGGATGGATACTTTGCAAAACAATTTAGAGGGTCCTAAGTAACAAATTTGTTTTACGCTTAATATTAGTTACTTTTTAAATGAATGTTTTGAGCACCTAGTATATGCCAGGGTCACAGCAGGGGTCTGCATGGAGACCCATCCCTGTAGCTGTCGGCGTTGCTGGGACCGCACCCCCAGGACCACAGCCGTGACCTCGGAGGGCCAAGCAGCTGGAGGGAAGGCTGTCTACACGACTGCCCTGCCGCGAACCCCCACAACTCCCAGATGCCCACCCCAGACACCTCACCAGGACAAGGCAGCGTGGGTCCTGGAGACACATGCTCACACCCCAGTTTTAATGTTAACAGTTGGTTAGAACTTCGGGCTAAGCTCCATGACAGGTGATTTGCACGCATCAAATGTAATCGTTTCATCGACCTCCCACCGTCAGTGTTCTTCCCTCCGCACCATCGCCTCCCCTGAGCCGGACACACACCACCCCAGCAGCCTGCGTCCGGCCCGCCCGGGTGTCCTCGCCCACAATTCGAATGCAAAAGGAGGGCCATCTCCCTCGGCGGCATGCGGACGCTGACCATCTGCCAACCTTCCCAGCTTCCCTGACCAGGCCTTTGCTTCGGAGTGGAGCAGAGCAGGCCTGCCTTCTCCCCAGAACCAAAGGCTAGGAGGGCCCTGAGGGGTGTCCAGTCCCAAGGGTACTCTGAGAAGGTCTGGGTACAGGATGGCAGATTTAAGGACCAGAGTCCCGGGGGGGCAGCATGGGGGCATCTGCTGTGGCATCTTCATGCCAGCCACTCTCCATTGGTGTGAGAGTCAGGGACCACCTGCACGTGGCTGGGCCTCAAGCAGCCCTGCCCAGGCTCAGGCAGCCGGACAGTGCGGGTTCCAGAGGGGGCCACCCGCAGAGGCCGGACTCCACTCCTCTCGCTGCTCGGTTTCCGCAGGTGAGATCGGCCGCTCCCCTGGAATGGCCGTTGGCTCTCCCCAGTGGCCATCGGGTGGAAAGCTGAAGTGACCCCAGGTGGGGCAGGTGTGACCCAAAGCTTCCCCGGTCGGCCAAGCACCCACCCTGCAGGCTGTGGACACAAGGCTGAGGCCACCAAACGGGCACGGGGGAGAAGCACGAGCCGTCCCCCAGCCCGCCCTGCGGGTGAGTGCTCGCCAGAGTCCCTGGCACCTCTGCCACGCGTATCCTCACAGCGGCATGCCTGTGCACTGCTGGGGGCTGAGGTCGTATGCTGATGAGGCCCGCAGGTGACCTCAGCATCCCCCTGCACCCAGCGCTGGATTCTCAGGATTTTCCAGGTGGAGCCTGGAGGTCCCCCCTGGAAGCAGCCCTTCTCTCTGGATCTCGGCTCCTCAGATGTAACCGGGGAGCAGCCCAGCTCCAAGAGGCGGTGGATGTGAGGACTCAATAAATCAGCCACAGGGCTTGTGGGGCAAACCGGCTCTTACTCCAGGGGGGCAGCCCTGCGGTCTGAAGACTGGTCCCCAAATCCTGGCCCGGGAGAAAGAAGCAGGCACACTCCTGCATGGCTGGAGCTGGCCAGGCCAGCAGAGGG